AAACTTCAGTCTGAGTCCATTTGTATGTTTTTAGTCAGTTTTGAGTTAATGTGGACAAACCTGAAGTGACGTTGGTCCGGTTTCAAGTTGCCTTTGATCATTTCTTCATTGTTTTGAACCATTTTTTAGTATTTTAGATCAAGGAGTCGTTTTGAATGCGTTTCCGTTTAATTCAAATAGTTTTGAAGTCATTTTGAACAGACTTTGCATCATTTTGGAGAAGTTTCCGTATGTTTTATGTCACAGGCCGTCTTTGTATTTGTGTCCAGCCTGCCAGTACGTGGCTGCGAACAGCTGACAGCCATCTGGTTCTATAATAATCGGCCTGTGACGAGAGCTGAAACACAAGCGTTGTAGGGTCCACTCACACAGAAGAGTTGTTCTTTGGTGGTTTTGGCTGGTTCTGGTGAGGAGGTCTGGTTCTGATGCTCTCCCTCTTGGTTCAGTTTGACTGCAGGATCATTTAAAAACAGGTTTCCATAACAAACTCTCATATTTCTGCAGCTTCTTCTTCTTCCTGCCCTGCAGTCCTCTCAGCGTGGTTCTGCTGCTGACCTCCTGTCTCTCCGTCCATCCTCTTTCATCCATTCATGTCCCGCTCTGTCTTATCTGTCTGTCTCAGCTGGTCTGGACATCGGCTCCATGGACAATGACGCCTCGTTGACCTCGGAGCCGGCAGGAGGAAGTGGGCGTGGCCAGAGGGCGGCGCAGGAGGAGCCTCTGGACGCCATCTTGAGTCCTGAACTGGACAAGATGGTCACAGACGGTTAGTTCAGTCAGGCACAGAACATAGCGATCGATGACCAGTGTGACATTTCTTTGTCATTTTGAGATGTATTCATATCAACAACTGAAAAAAGTTTTGATTAGCTTAAAAACAACATAAATAAAACATAAACCAACAAATCTGAGACACTAAACAAATAAAACACAAACAAGACACGCAGTGACAAACACGAGATGCGACCAACAAAGATGTAGAGCTGTCCTGAAGACACCTAGCATGACCACCATGGGACACAAAGCAGCCACACACAGACAGAAAACAGCAGAAACGAGACCAACGTGTCTCTGAGAGTCTGGAGTTTGTCTCACTGTGAGGAGGTCAGGGTCTGTGTCATCAGTACCCGGGTCTGTGAGTCTGACCAGCTCCCTGTCCAGCCTCCAGCTCATAGGGCCACGTTCTCCTGGGTCTCTCCTCTGACTGAGCAGGAAGTCTCCAAGCTCCTGCTGGACTCTCGTCCTCCTCCATGAACCAAACACTCGTCTAACTTCAGATGCTGTAAACCATCTTTGTGTTGACACAGTTTGACCCTGTTGTTTGTTCCAGGAGCCATCCTCAGCAAACTGTACAAGATCCCAGGTAAGGCTCAGCCTGCACACCTGAACACCTGCACACCTGGCCGTCAGTGTGTGGCCTGGCTGGACACGTCTGTCTTCTAACCTCTGTGTCTGTTGTGTGTCTCTGGTATGTGTCTGTGTGTAGAGCTGGAGGGGAAGGATGTAGAGGAGGTTTTCACTGCAGTCCTGAGTCCAAGTAGCAGCAGCAACCAACAGACACACACTGCTGCTGGGAGCAAGACACACGCACGCAACACAGGTACACACAACACAAGTACACAACACAGGTACACACAGCACAGGTACACAACACAGGTACACGCAACACAGGTACACAACACAGGTACACACAACACAAGTACACAACACAGGTACACACAGCACAGGTACACAACACAGGTACAC